CTTTATTTTTTGCCAATTATAATAGTGTTACAAGATTTAATTATGGATTATGAGTAACTTGTCGTATGCATCATTTTATAGTAGCACGTGTTTTGATAATGACAAAATCTTGGGTGAATTTCTAGTTTTTTCTTGGTTTACTCTGTTACTGGCATATTGCACATACGAGTAAGTAGATAGGTTGTATGAAATAAAGATTGGAATCAACTTCTCTTTGTAATGAAATATCAGTAGTTTATTTACGGTTTATGAATGGTATTTTATTTATTTATTTATTTTTTCTGAAGTGCCTATGTGAGCTATGTGATTTTGTTTGGTGAAATTGGACGTTGAGTATTTTTATGAATGAACTTCTATTTCGTGCGTTTTGTACTGGTACATTGTTCGTTTGTTTTATGTTTATTTGATGTTTATCTATGATTTTCGTGTGTTAATTTAGTGTTATTTGTTTATTTGATGTTTATCTATGATTTTCTTGAAGCTGGGGGCTTGAACAATCTTTGGAAGTTTTTTGAAGTAGTTTTTGGGGTGTTGATTTGATGTTTATCTATGATTTCATTACGATTTTTGATTGATTTTTTTTTTAATCTTATCTACCGTTTATTTCAGTTTATTGCTCAATTCTTTTGCTATTGGCAAGAGATGAGGAGACGGAGGAGGGATGACTTTGGGAGTGGTGAGGTCAATGGCATCAAAGAGTGAAACTTGGTGATGGGATAAATAGGGTGGCACTTTGAGAATACCCACCTCTCGATGTCAGACCAGGAACACAAAGTACGGGGGGACGTTGATTTCGAACGTCGAACGTTGCTGGAGATGAGTTGAAGGCTATGTTCTGCTTATTTGTGAATATGTGTTTTTAGTTAAGGACTTAAGATTGGCACAGCAGCCTTGGGACAGGCTATTGATTTAGAGACTGGTCATAAAAAGAATCGATTCCGACTTCGGACTTGACCTTTTTTTGGTTTATTGTTGTTTATGTCCACAGATGGTTTGTGTTCGATTGTATATTTTGGAGAAAACATTTTTCAAATGTTTGACTTAATTATTTTTGTGGAAGAATTATATGTTTACTTGATGTTACCATACGACAAAGGAGCAGTTGTTTTTTGGTTAATTATTATATTTTTTGTTTTGAATATTTCTTATGATTATTTATATTGATTGCTTTTTGTTTCATTTTTATTTTGTAGGTCTGTTGTATTTTATATTTTAGGTGCTACTTTTGTGAGTGAATGTTTAGTTTTTGGGTGTATAAGAATAATAATTTTATAACGATAATAAATAGAAATAATCTCTAAATAAATTTATAGTATGTATTCTGAAAATAAAAATATATATATATATATAAATTTACTTTTTCGTGTATATACGAGTATTAATTTTAAAACTGTAATAAACTTAAAATAAACTGAAAATAAACTATATAAATTTAAATTTACAGTACTCTTGTAATGATTTATATAAACTGAAAATAAACCTATAATAAACCAAAAATAAATTAAATGTAAATTTACAGTAGAAAAATAAATTTATAAACCCAAAATAAACTTGATATATTTATGCAAGTAAAGGCCAATAAAATTTTGTATCTTTACTCGCACACCAATATTGTACTATTGCTACTAAGATCCACAAGAGCAAAAAAAAGAGTTGTCTTTTCAGGTGACATAAAACCATCCCAACTCCAGGTACCAATTTTTTTCCTACTCCAAAATTCGCAAATTTTGCTCGAAAAAAGAAAAAGAAAAAAAAAACTAGAACTACTCCAACAATCACAAATTTTTCTCGAAAAAGGGAAAAAAAATAAAACTGAAAAAATAGTGAAAATGGTGCGGCTAATTTCTGTCTTTTGTCTTCTCCCGTTGTACCTCAAAATTCGGTGAACAGCCGCGGATGCTGCATCCTACACCTCATCAGCATTCCCAAAATCCTCAAAACTGGTTGCAATAATTCCCATGGCAGAGGAATTCCCAAAGTATCAGTACATAGTAAATACTGACCATAAAATTAAACAGAAATAAAAAAAAATAAAAAAAATGGCACTGACCATAAACATGAAATTCTTGATGGTAACCTTTCCTTGCATAACATCAACGTGCGTCGATTCCGCTAAAATTAATTAGGATGGGGAGGATTGCTTTTCATTCCTTTTTGAAGCAATAGATTCCTTTTGGGAATATTATTAAAACAGATTACAGATTACGTGAAGATATGAAAGAAACTTTGGTCTCGTAGATATGGTACTTCTTAAAATATATCTCGTCTGCGTGTACTTTAGCCTTATTACTATCTCGTCCTAAGAAAATGCTAATTAAAAGCAGTGATCCGTTAATCTATAATTAGAATTAACATAGTTAATAATTAAAAGCAACCACCGAGTGATCGTTTATTTTTTCACAAAGTAATGTGTTCTGCACCTCATGAAACGGTTGCCCTCTTGTAAATCGATATCTGGCACCTATAAAGCGTTCGAATGAATTCTAAGTGTAAGAATATTGGTTTGGCATCGTCCGACAAACTTAATTGTTTTTTATAAGATTTTTTTGTTAGGCAAGCAAAATAAATTAAAGAAAAAGTTTTTTTTTTATTTACTTGTGATTTAATTAAGTTCCTAGTATTTATTATTAATAATATATGGTATATATATTTATTGTAGTATGCAGGGGCGTAGCCAGAAATCAAAAGTACCCTGGGCTAATTGTCCATCAAGATAGAGCTCGACTCGTTTAATAAAATTTGCGAGCTTAATGATGAGTCAATCTCAAATCCTAACGAGCTAAGCTAATTTGAGGGTTCATGAAATTACCTAAAATATTAGAATGATTGAGCCTTATTGAGTTGAAAAAATCACCCAACCATAAAGTTCGAGCACGACTCGATTAGGAATATTAACGACTTGAACTCAAGCATTAATGAGCCAAACTTTCAAGTTGCTCATATCATTTAATAGCCCTGGGAATGAAAAAATATTAGAAACTATGGTTTAACTAAGAATGACATGTACAATATTTCATGTTAACTACAAATATTGTAAAAATAAATCAGTCCGTCGCTTAAGTGAGAATGTTGTACTTTGTTCGTCTTTACTAATTACTGAAACAAATCATAAATGATAGAAATATTTTCACATATTAAAATTATGAGATATAACATCTCATCAAGATAAAGTTAATAACAATTCAAAGAAAAATCAATTGTTGTTAAAACGCATAAACTACTAAATATGATAATAATAACTTAAAAGAAAATTCAATCTTACATAAATAAACAATATATTCTACAAAAGATTGATCAGGGTCGTGGTTCTCATGGACCGGAATATTCTTACAATGAATTTCGATTTGTAAAACCATAATAATGCATGTTTTATGTGTATGGAAATGGAAGAGTAAATATTTTATTGACAGTGTAAAAAAAATACCAATAAACTCATGTATCTCATACATCATTCAATTAAAAAAAGAGTTTTCTTTTTTTTAAAAAAAAAAAGTAGTGAATAAAACAATTAGAAACTCAAACAATTAGAATTATATACCATTTAAAAAAAATACACTAAACCCATTAATTATTTGCCCTATGCAGATTTTTTTTCTTTTTAGGTATTTCAAAATCAATTATGGAATGTGTTTGGTCCACGTTAAAAAATGAGAAAAAATAATTGAGCAACCAGAGGAGCGAAAAAAAATTTCAGGAAAACTGTTACATTTATTAATGGAAAATGCTTATATTGGGCTTAGCCTTTTCGTGCATAAGTCACTTCTTACAATTGAACCTGGGCTATCTAAAACATGGGCCAAAATTTATATACATTTTGTTTGAAGAAACTTAAATTAGCCTGGGCTGGAGCCCACTCGAGCCTTTGGGGGTGACTCCGCTCCTGGTAGTATGTATGATGGAGTCCTAAATCTTTAGAAGAAGGATTACATAATATATAGTTGGGTTGGATTCCAACGAGAATTGTGCTTAGCGAAATAAATAAAAATACATCGTAATCAAATCCAATGGCTAAAAAAATCAAAATTATACACTCATTAATAGTATTTTAGGTGTTTCTATTTATATATCTATCATTGGGCCCATGCCAACTACCAAAACCACCACACAATTACTGCCACGTCAGCACACACATGCCCCACCCCAGCCATACCCACCATCACACGTCAGTCACTCTCAACCATCCCCTTCCCCTACACACTTTCTCTCACACACAGTTAACACACTGACAGGCGCACAAAACTCACACACGGAAGAACTCACTCCACGCCGATCACCACGCCGTCTGGCCCCTCCAGCCACCGCCGCCGCCGCGTCTCGCAACCCGCCAACCGTCGTCCCGTCACGGAGCCTGCCGAACGTACACACACACACACACATAGCGGCACCAATCGTAGCCACGCCGTTCGCCGCCACCAGCCACACACACACTACTCGGCAGACCAGTCATATTAATTAGCTCGGATTTAACCGGCCCAAGATAGCTTCTAACTCGGCGGTCGGGTTTGAAGCTGTCAAGGAGGTTATAATGGCAGCTCGAGGTATAGGTTAGCTTGGATTACGAGCTAGCAAGTTGGGCTCATTTGGGAGCACGATCAAAGGAGGGGTTGTTACGACCTGAAGGTTGTTACAAATGTCGTATAAGTGACCTGATAAGGAATAGGGTTCAGAGTCAGTAGGTCGATGCAACGATCTAGGGACCTACTAAATCCTGATAAATAAGGTGATAGATTCCTACTAGAATGATAAGTATATCTCGCTAAGCAGTAGAAGATCTCTGAGATTTGTCATACTAAGAAACGAGATACAACAAAATCTCTTTCCTAGTAGTGAAGTTACTTGGGCAGGAAGATAATCTCCTTGTAAAAGTAGATTATCATGTTCTTTTATTACTTGCGCATATTACATATTATATTCCAACTTTAGATAATTCGCGAGCGAAATCTAACTTGAACGTCAGAGGACTTACCACATGAACCCCTCCCAGAAAAACGAAACAGTAATCTAACAGACCAAAAAGATGAATGATTAAAAGAATAATTTATTACACAACTCATGATATGCAAGCTCCGACAAATAATTACAATTCCCATTTATTTATTTCATCCTCTTTCCCATTTACACAGACCCTGCCCAATCATCTCAACCAAAAACAAAAACAAAAAAAATAAAATAATAATAGTATTTGACCTTTTTCCATCTCATTCTAGCTACACATTACAAATGAATTATATTACAATAAAGAATTATGCATTTTTATGTCCAAAATGAGAGAACCTTGTTTTTGCTTCAAGCTGATTCCAGTGTAAAGAATGGTGCACCAGTAATGCTCCTTGATCTCACAATCTTCTTCACCAAGATTCTCCATGTTATATCTTCCTTCTTGCTCTGTTGCCTTCTCCTCTGCCTAAATTTCCTGCAGTGATTGAGACACGTTCGATTTCGACACCAAAATTAAGTGTTAACAACCCAGTTTTCTAAAAAACTATAGACAAACTCCTCTTCAAAGTGAGGTGCCATAGTAATTTTACAAGATTTGTGGATCATTTTTGTAAATTACCTGCACAAGGGCACTCTACAGGCATCCGAGTCGACACAGAGCCGTGAATGCAAATCGAGAATCTGCCACATCCGCTTGCAGTGCACACACCCACCCTGACGCCTCATCGTGCACTCGGCAAAATGGCGAATGAGCCTCTCGAGCCCCTTGCAGGCCGCGTATGAACACGGGCCCTGACTCTTCCTCGGGCTTTTATCGTGGGGCCCGATCGTTCGACACCCATCTTTACATATATGCACCAGTGCCTCCATTGCCTCGTACAGCTGCACGTACATCTTCCTCTCCTCTCTCTTCCTCATCCTTTCCTTTTTCATCTAAGGAAAAAAAAAAATCAAGTATTGCATAAGTGACTAGTTATTTTCTTCAATCAAACTCATTTTATGACAATCTCATTATGTTAAGCTAAATTTAAAGTATTTCAAATATTAAATACGCATTGTGAGCGGCAGAGTGGCCTGCCTACCATGACCCGCTGAGATTCAGTCATTTGTCACTTCCATTCGTTATAAAATAAAAAAGAAATCATGTATTGCATAAGTTACAAGCTATTTTTTTTCTAATGGAACTCATTTTGTGACAATCTCATGATGTTAGGCTAAATTTAAATTATTTAAAATATTAAATACGCGACGGGGTATTGTAAGCGGCAGAGTGACCTTGCTGCCACGATCCGCTGAGATTCAACTATTTGCTACGATCCGCTGAGATTCAGCTCTATGTCGCTTCGATTCGTTATAAAATAAAAATTAAAAAAAATAAGCTAAATTTAAAGTACTTACAACATCCTCGTCAATGATGGAGGCTCGGATTTCACGGTCGAGGATTGGGTGACTGGATTTCATGTCCCTCCACGCGTTTGTGGCGGACACGGCCTTGAAGTTGGTGACAATGAAGCGGTGGCAGACAAAGCTGAGTCGAGGGGCATCGCACAGCAAAGCCAGCTGGAAAATGTCGACTGCATTTTCCGTGGTAAGGAGTTTGTGCTCGAGCCAGCACTCACACACTCGCTTAAGCTGTGGGACCATGTATGCGTGAGCCAGCACTAAAAGAGGCAGTGCAAAGGTTCTCATGCTTTCCTCTTCATAGCTGTAAATGAAGAACATTTAGAATCGGGCGAAGTTCATTCTACTTTTTTGAAGACTACTAAAGTCGTCTTTTGTAGTTTCATGGCATATGCATTTCATCTTGTGATATAATTATCAATATTTGAGACAAATAATCTAAAAACAGAATAAAGAGCTACTTCTCTTGGTTCTTGTTTGAAATTGAACCTCACTTTGAAGCGAACAATGTACTTGAAGGATGTTAATAATAGAAATTAAGTGCTAACTAATCTACTTTGCATATTAAGGAAAATAGTTGTGCAAGGAAGAAATGTGTTAGTTACCTTGAGGAATACAAGAATCTGATGAAACCTCGAACAGCCTCAGTTGGAACTCCACCAATCGAGATTGATTTCAAACGGTTACGACCCTTTCCCTTTGATTTGTTCAACATGGACTTCAAAACTGGCGAAACAACACCCTGCAATAAGGAAAATGAGAGAAAAGGCAAGATTTAGAAGAAAATAGTCAAAAAAAAATTTCTTTTTTTTTTTTTTTACAATATCAAGCAACCGAAAGGAAAGGGAAAAAGACTCACGAGAACACTCGCATGTGCGTAAATTACGCCGCCGCCATCCGTTGAGATAGAGACATCCGCTCTGTAAGCCTCGTCGAAAAGGCGGTCCCACGAACTATTGGCGGACTTAGAATCGCATAAGCAATGTTCTTTGATTTCTGAGCCATTGATCTTGAAGCTCTTTTGATGAAAACTTGTGGTGAGATGTGAAGGCAGCGGAGGAGGATGAGGCAAAGCTTTTGCCAGAGTCGAGAGGAATTTGTCATTTCTGCAATCCATTTTTTTTTTTTGTTCCTCTACTTTTTTTGTTCGGAGGAGGGTAAGGTCTGCGTACAATTGACCCCCAAGACCCCAACCTATTGGGGAATATACTGGGTATGTTGTTGTTGTTGTTGTTGCTACTTTTTCTTATTTCCTCTTTTTCACAACACTTTTCTATATTAATCTGCAGAACAAACAGAGATTCTTTTAATTTCAGCCACATTGTTCAAGGGATTTTTGTTTTATTTAATTATTGTGTACAATTAGCTGTGAAGGTCGAAAAGTTTCTGATCAATAGTGCAAGATATAAATAAGAATCTACATCATTAGCCTGAGTAATTTTTAGCTCTTGAGGATAAGGGGAATGGAAAAAGGTGTTCTATCTAACACAATGTTGAGAAGGAAAATTCTCAATAAAGTGAAACCAGAGATCAAATCTACCCCAGGAAATGTTGCTAATACATTTAATTGTGGGGAATAAAAATTCATATCATCACATTATCAAGATCCAACCTTTTTCTATCTTTTCATCTCCATTTGACAGGAACCATTAGAACTTGCAACCAAATAAATAAACAAGCGAATGAATGCTTAGAACCAAAATCAAAATCAAACAAAATAGCCCTTCAAGGAAACACACACACACACACACACATAGTGCACACAAATAACATACAAAATTAAAAACACATCTTAAATCCACAATGTTCAATGACCTCTGACGGAACAAAATGTAGAAATGTCATTTGCTCATTAGTCATTACCTGTCTAGAAAATCGTGGCAGTCAAATGTACACAAGATGTTCAAATTATGTCCGATCCCCAAATTCGTAAATCCCTTTCTGAAAAATTTCTCTCACAATGCATTGCCCGATCTTGAACAATCTATATGGACATCAACAAGCCATCCAATTTACTTACAAAACAAAAAAGAAAAAAGTGAAGCTTCTTTGTACATCAGCTAATCTCTAAAGATTCCCAAAAAAATGTTACAGGCTTTTTACAACCTAATCCCCCGTAACAATGGGATGATCAGCCAATTTTGTACGGCCTCTGCCTTTGAGAGAAAATGTAGAATAGGGATTTTAGAGAAAGTGAAAAAAAGAAATTGTGAAATATAAAAATGGGGAGGTGAATGTGAAATGAGTCAATGACAGCTGCATGCAGCTGGCGTGAGTCAGATCCTATTGGATTATTATGATCTTTTTATTTCCATTCGATAAAACGTGCGGTCACCGTACGGTGTTTGTACTTTGTAGTCAATTTCAGCGTGTACAACATGGATTTATTTTTTTTTTTCGCAGATATTTTTTTGCATCCGACAGTTTAGTTGATAATATAGCAAAAGAACATTTATTGGTGTGCTTATGCATTTCCCTATCTGATTAGTGGTTTGTGTGGACAATTTCCTCGCTTGTTCCTTCCACTTATCATTACCTCTGTTTTTGGCTTTTAGGTTTTATCTTTTCCTTTTTTTTTCGGGA